AAATCTGTATTAGGGTTCTCCGGAGAGGCAAAACTTTTGTGCTGCAGAATTCTTTTTCCCTTGGGAAACCCCTCTGGGGTCTTCAGCTCAATGGATGTGGCTCACCCACATTATTGAAAATATTCTGCTTTACTTAAAGTCTACTGGTGGTAAATGTTAATTATATCTAAAAAAAAAAAAACAAAACCAAAACCAAAATCCTTTAATAGCAACATCTAGCCAGATTGACACACAAAATGAACCATCACAAGGTTTGAGAAAATAAATTAGTATATCCATACAATGGAACTCTTCACCATGTAGTACTGACAGCAAATTACATCAGATGTATAGTATGATCCCACTTTTTGCTTAAAAATAGTTAGAAAAAAAGATCAGAAGGATATATATGTCATTCAAGTGTTGGAGTCCTGAGTGGTTATTATTTTTGCTTATATGTAATTTTTAAACTTTTTTATTTTTTAAAAACTTATTTATTTATTCATGAGACACACAGAGAGAGGCAGAGACATAGAGAGATAAGCAGGTTCCCTGCAGGGAGCCTGATGCGGGACTAGATCCCCGGACCTGGGATCACACCCTGAGCCAAAGGCAGAGGCTCAACTGCTGAGCCACCCAGGTGTCCCGAATTTTTAAACTTTTATGATAAATGTGGATGTTTTTGCCTACTACAAAGTATTTCCCCCTGCTTTATTGAAATAAAATTAACATATTACGTTGTGTAAGCTTGAGGTATACAATCTGTTGAACTGATACACATATATTACATGATTACCACCATAGCATTATCCATCATAGCACATGATTTTCATTTTTTTTTTGTGGTGAGAACATTATGATCTACCATCTGCGTGACTTTCAAGCATACAACACAGTATTATCAAGTATAGTCACTATCCTATAGATTAACTGGAAATGTTATTCCTTGACCAACAATTCCCTATTTCCTCCACCCCTCCCTCAGCCCCAGGTAACCACCACTCTATTTTCTGTTTCTAAGAGTTCCGATATTTTTCAGGTTTCACTTATAAGTGATATCATATAGCATTTGTCTTTCTCCAACTGCCCTCACAGTCCATCCATGTTTTTGCAAATGTCAGGATCTTCCTCTTTCTCACAGCTATTTCACATTTAACCTATTCATACATTGACAGACACTTAGGATATTTTCATATCTTGGCTATAGTGAATAATGCTGCAATAAACATGGAAGTGCAGATATTTCTTTGGGATGGTTTTCATTTCCTTAGGACATACTCAGAAGTGAAATTGCTGGATCATATATGGTAGTTGTGTTAATTTTTTGAGGAATCTCCATACTGTTTTCCATACTAGCTGCACCAATATATGTTCCCACCAACAGTACACCAGTATTCCCTTTTCTCCACAATCTTGCCAACATCTGTTGTATCTTATAGCCATTCTAACAGGTACGGAGTGATAGTTCCCTGGGGTTTTGATTTGCATTTCCTTGATGATTAGTAATGTTGAGCATCTTTTCATGTGTCAGTTGACCATTTGTCTTCTTTGGAAAAAAAATATTCAGTTCTTCTGCCCATTTTTAATTGGATTATTCTTATGCTATTGAGTTTTTAAAATCTATTTGGGGATATTAACCCCTTATCAGATATATAGTTTGAAAATATTTCCTCTCATTTCATAAGTTCCCTTTTTATTTCTTTTGCTATGCAGAAACTTTTTAGTTTATTGTAGTCCCATTTATTTATTTTTGCCTTTGTTGCTTGTGCTTTTGGTATCACATCCAAAAAATTGTTGCCAAATGTCGACGAGTTTTTCCATGTCTTTTTTTTTTTTTTTTAGTTTTATATGGTTTCAGATCTTACATTTAAGTCTTTAACCCATTTAGAGTTTTTTTGTGAGTAGTGTAATATAGGGGTCCGATTTCATTCTTCTGCATGTGATTATCCAGTTTCTCCAAAACCATTTATTGGAGGGGTTATGCTTTCCCCACAGAGTATTCTTGTCAAATACTAGTTCACAAAATATTTTTTTAATTATGAAAATGTTAGATTAGCCATCCTTCCTCATAACCTCCTTCACTAAAATGAGCAGATGTGGCAGCTTAAAAAGGTCCTATGTTTAACCCAGTATTTCCACTTCTCAGAACTTGTCTTGGGAAAATAACCCAAGGTATAGTTAAAGGTTTATATTTGATGATATTCATCACAGAACTATTTATATAATTGGATAAATTATAATTATTCCAATGCCCCCAAATTAGTGTTTGGCTAGTAAGTCATGATATTGTGATACCATCAAAAATTAAAGTCGTTAAACATTCATTCTAACCAAGGGTGAAAAAAGCTAAAGTTAGGAGGATGTAAAATCATATGTCCAAGTAATATTTTCATGGTGTACAAACACCTATTCACAGAAAAAAAAGCCTGGAAGAATATAAACCAAAACCTAAATAGCTAGGGGTGGCATTGTGATTTAAATAGCCTCCACAATGCTTTTCTCTGTTTTCCAAGATTTTTACATGGCATGTAGTACTTTAATCAGATGGAAACAAGCAAAGTGAAAGTCCAGTTTTAAAGGTACGGTTTCTCCACTTCTTGAGTGAAATTCATTTAGAGCAGGAACCAAAAAAAAACCCCATCAATTTACTGAAAGCCATTTAGCTGAGAACTGATCTCTACACTGCAAACTCTGTGGCTGAATCTGTCTTCAATTTGCTCAGCTGATCAGCAGCATCTAATACAGCTGACCACTTCCTCTACCTTGAAATGCCATGAAATAGAAGCAGGACTTCCAGGTCTCTTCATTTCCTTCTCTCACTGACTGTTGGACTGGTGTTGCCCCAGTTTCCTACCTTCCAGCCTCTGCACTGTGAAGCGTTCCCCAGACTTTTCTTTACCTACATCCATTCCCTAGGCAGCCTCCACCAGTACTATAGCTTCAGTACCACAGATATGTTGACAACTCCCAAACTTATATTTCTAGGTCCCTGAACTTCAGACTTCTATCCAACTGCCATCTTGACATTTTTTTAAAAAAAGATTTTATTTATTTACTCATGAGAGACACAGAGAAAGAGGCAGAGACACAGGCAGAGGGAGAAAAAAGCTCCCTATGGGGAGCCCAATGCAGGACTCGATCTCAGGACCCCAGGATCACACCCTGAGGCTAAGGCAGATGCTCAACCACTAAGTCACCCAGGTGGCCCCCGTCTTGACATTTTATTTGGAGGCAGAACCTGTAAGGAAGTGATAAAATTTTAATGAAGTCACAAGGGTGGGACCCTAATCTGGAAAGGCTGGTGTCCTTATGTGAAAAGGAAGAGACACCAGAGTTCTTGTGAGTAGTGTAATATAGGGGTCCGATTTCATTCTTCTGCATGTGGTTATCCAGTTTCTTCAAAAACATTTATTGGAGGGGTTATGCTTCCCTTATCCCTACAGTGAAGACACACAAGAAAGCAAGAAGGTGGTAATCTGCAATACAGGAAGAGAGCAGGACTTAGATCTGGGACTTCCATCCTCCAGAATTATAGGAAAATAAATTTCTGTTGTTTGTCATACAGTCTGTGGCATTTTATTCTGGGACTTGGTAGACTAATGCAGCCACTCCTGTTCAGTATGTCCCAAACCACCCTTCAAACCTGTGCCTTCTTTAAGGTACATCATTTTTTCAGTTGCCGAAGCCAAAAATCTTAGTTATCCTTTACTCCTCTTTCTCACTTTCCAAACCCAGTCAGCAATTCCCACTCTATCTTCAAAATACATTCAGGCTGGAACCACCGTTCATCACCTTTATCCCTACCACCCTCATAAAGCCAGCCTTTCTCCACTAGAGATCTGCCATCGCTGCCCTTGACCTTGTAGAGGCTATCCTTGACACAGCAGCTAGTGTGGACTTTTTAATAGTGAATCAGATTTTCTCTGCTCAAAAGTCTCCAGCAGTCTTCTAATTTTGTAATAAAACCCAAAGTTTTCTGCATGGCCTACAAGGCTCTACATCAGTGGTTCTCAAACCTGGCCATCGGTATCTAGTGGAGGTCAAGGCTGTTGTGCCTCTAGAGTTTTGGGGTAGGGCTGGAAACACTTTGCTTTTGTGCCTCTCTCCTCAGTTTGAACGTTTCTCTTCCATGTTGATGCAACCAGGGAGGGGACCCCACTTTGAGAACCACCAACCTGCATGCTTGGTGCTGGGTACTAGGTCTCCTCCCCTGCTCCTCGCAGCCACATGCTCCCTCTGCGTTTTTGGTGCTAGGTACTAGGTGCTGGGCGCTGGGTCTCCTCCCCTGCTCTTCCAAGCCACATGCTCCCTCTGCACGCACGGTGCTGGGTGCTGGGTGCTGGTGCTGGGCACTGGGTCTCCTCCCCTGCTCCTCGCAGCCACATGCTCCCTCTGCGTTTTTGGTGCTAGGTACTAGGTGCTGGGCGCTGGGTCTCCTCCCCTGCTCTTCCAAGCCACATGCTCCCTCTGCACGCACGATGCTGGGTGCTGGGTGCTGGGCACTGGGTCTCCTCCCCTGCTCCTCGCAGCCACAAGCCCCCTCAGCTTCTTCCCATCAGACGCCAAGCCCGTGTGGCCCAGTCCTAGGCACACACAGCTCCTCCCTGGGGATGTACGGAGGACCCTGGCTCCCTTTACCAGAACCTCTGCTTGAATCACGCCACCTGAGAGGCCCTCCGGGGGCACTCTACCTAGAACGGCCCTGCCACTCTGCGCCCGCTTATTTCTTCTTGGAGCCCCTAACGCTGCAACTGTTTATCGCCTCCATCTCTCTCAGAACTCAAGTTCCAGGAGGCCGGGGGCTCTACTTTGCTCACTGTCCTGCCCCAGCAGCTAAAGACAGTACCTGCACGCTCATACTGATGCTCAATAAAGATTTCGACGACCAGAGGAAAGGACGGGTGGGGGGAAAGGGCCAGAAGCCGACCGACCACTCGGCTCGCTCGCGCTCCCCCGGATCCCGAGCCCGGAGGCGGGACTTCCTGTGCGCCTGCCGAAAGCGCTTCCGGTGTGAAGCGGAAGTGCCCTGAGAGCGGCGGCGGCGAAGACCCGGCGGCGCGGGCTGCGTGCCGCTACCGCTGCCATGGGCAAGAGAGACCGCGGTGAGACGTGGTGCGGGCGCGGTGGGGGCCGTCCCCGTCGGCCGGTGCCGCGGGGCGGGGCGATCCTTGACCCCCGGGCCGCCCGCGGTCGGGGCCGGGTGGGGGAGGCCTTGCAGCGGGAGGACACCCGCGGCACGCAGCGGGCGTCGGCGGAGTCTGGTTGCTGCCGTGCCCCCTGGAAATGCTGCCAGGTGTCTGTTGGGCTCACTTCTGTGTCCGTATCTGCAGATAAGAAGAAGGCCAAGAAGCGGCACTACGAGGATGAAGAAGAAGACGAAGACGACGTCCCCGGGAACGACTCTCAGGAGGCCGTGCCCTCGGCGGCCGGGAAGCAGGTGGATGAGTCCGGCACCAAAGTGGATGAATACGGAGCCAAGGACTACAGGCTGCAGATGCCCCTGAAGGACGACCACACCTCGAGGCCTCTCTGGGTGGTGAGCATGCCTCGGCGAGGGCAGGACTGAGAGCCTGTGGGCCCAGAACAAATGCGGGCACTGCTCTGCAGAGCTGCCTGGGAGAGAGTTTCTCGCATACTGTGCGGGAAGCCCACGGTAGGAATGAGCAGGTGGGGCAGCAGGCGCTGGCTGGACTTGGGCTCGTTCATCTCCAGCCACTCCTCTTACTCCTCTTCCTTCCACTTACACCGCATGCGTGGAAATACTTTCTTATTTACCAGATAAATGCCGTTTATTATGTGATTTTTTTAATTCCCCACTTAGAAAATTAATAGAAACTTTGTATTTGCCAGGTACCACTCTTCTGCTCAACTTGAAGTAATTAGTACTCTACGTTCTTTTGAAACCTGGCCAAAAGGTACATTGAGGAGAGTCGATCTGGTGGGCTCTCCCTGCGAAGAAAACTAGGAAGCAGCTCCTGACTTTGGAAACCTGTTCTAGTCTCTGCATTTCTTGTTTCTGGTTAAAGTAACAGGTTTCACAGTCGGCTGAAGGAGTGCTTACACAAACATCCCTGGTGTTTAAGATCACTTTTGGGAAAAACAACAACAACAAAAAAAATCACTTTTGGGGCAGCTTGTCCTTTCTGAATAGTGCTCTGGGAAAGAGTCTGATAGTCTCTAGAACTCATTGATTTCTTTGCCTCTTGTGTCTATTTGGTGTTTCTTAGGCTCCTGATGGCCACATCTTCTTGGAAGCCTTCTCTCCAGTTTACAAATATGCTCAAGACTTCCTGGTGGCGATTGCAGAACCAGTGTGCCGACCAACCCATGTGCATGAATACAAATTAACGGCCTACTCCCTGTATGCAGCTGTCAGTGTTGGGTTGCAAACTAGTGACATCACCGAGTACCTCAGGAAGCTCAGCAAGACAGGTGTCCCTGATGGAATTATTCAGTTTATTAAGGCAAGTGGGGGCTAAGGCCAGCTCTTTTGCCTTCCTTGTTAATACAGTAATAGTGGGGACAGATGCTACACGTTGTCGGCCTATGGCAGGTGTGAAAATGCCATGTGGTCAGTACACCTAACTGATTACCCCAGCTGCTCCTCTTCTGGATCCTGCTTGGTATGCTTGCTGAGGCCACCCTTCCCATGAGCTGCTCCAATACAGTGGATACTAACACACTTGGGATACTAATTCAGCCCTTCTGGCCAGGACTATTTGGGAATGCAACCAAAAGTGGATGGCGTTTTGGACTGAATTGTGTCCCCTCCAAAATTCAGATGCTGAAGCTGTGACCCCTGACACAACTGTATTTGGAATGAGGACGTAATTAAGGTTAGATGAGGTCATAAGAGTGGGGCCCTGATCCAGTAGGATGAGCATACTTTTAAGAAGAGTTAGCCAGAAAGCTCATGTGGTCTGTTTCTCTTTGTGCACAAGGAAGAGGTCGTGTGAGCACGTGGTGAAAGGGTAGCCAGGAAGAGAGCTTTAACTAGAAACTAATCACTGGCAACTTGATCATGGACTTCTAGAAATGTTTCTGTTGTTAAATCACCCAGTCTATGGTGTTCTGTATGGCAACTGAGTAGACTAATTATAACTGGTAGACTATCTAAGGCTGAATGCCTGTATGGGATCAGTGGCCAACAGTTTCTGTTTGGGAATGTGGAAAAGAACTTCCAAATGTTGAAGTGCATAAGGATCCATATGAAGAGCAGTTGAACATGCTTGGGTTTGTCCTGAGAGATGGGCAAATGCCATTCAGAAGAGATGGACAGGGACTTTTGTTGCCCTTGGCTGATCTAAAGGGAGTTGGATTCAGACCCCCAAACCTAGAGTGGCAGGCAAGTGCCATAGGCATCCAGTACACTAATGTATCCAAACTCAGAGAAGCTGACAGGAACCCTGGTGAGAATCTTCTCTTGTGCTGTGGGGAGGGTGCCCAGGGAGAAGGGCTTGCACCTTGCTGGGAAGAACCCTGCATCAGCACACTAGCTGTGCTCAGTGTTGGCTGTGAGCTGCCTGCAGGAGTATAGATACAATGCAGTAGTAGATCCAGAAGGGAAGCAGCAGGGGCAGCCTGAGATCTGAGTGGCCAGTTTGTTTGTTTGTTTCTTCTTTCCTTTCCTTTCCTCTTTTCTTTTCTTTTCTTTTCTTTTCTTTTCTTTTCTTTTCTTTTCTTTTCTTTTCTTTCTTTCTTCTTCTTTCTTTCTTTTTTCTTTCTTTTCTTTCCTTTCTTTTTCTTTCCTTTCTCTTTTCTCTCTCCTTTCTTCTTTCTTTCTTCTTTTTCTTCCTTCCTTCCTCCTTTCCTTTCCTTTCCTTTCCTTTCCTTTCCTTTCCTTTCCTTTCCTCTTTCTTTCTCCTTTTTTTTTTTTTAAGAGTTTATTTATTCATGAGAGAGAGAGACGGAGACTTGGGCAGAGGGAGAAGTGGGCTCTCTGCAGGGAGCCCGATGCAGGACTTGATCCCTGAACCCCGGGATCATGCCCTGAGCGAAAGACTGACACTCAGCCACTGAGCCACCCAAGCAGCTTGAGAGGCCAGTTTCTATGGCTACCACACAACTTCTGCTGGATTCCATCCTAAAGATTGTTGGGAACCAGGAAGATTTTAGGTGTATTCTCTTCTGTCAAGAAGCTTACGTTCCAGTTAGGGAAGTAGTAACATTGGTGAGGAGGCCAGGAGGCTTTGCATTTAATTTATGCAGCAGTTACTGAACACTTAACTCTGCCAGCTTCATGCTGGGAACTGTAGTAATGCTGGTGCCGCTGGATGAACCACTGGATTGGGATGGGGCCTGTGGGAATGGAGAAGAAAAGGGAAGGGAAAAGAAAGATTTTACGTAGCATTTTATAAATCAAGGCATGTGGGGCACATTGGTTAAGTGTCAGATGGTTAAGCATCTGCCTTCGGCTCAGGTCATGATCCCAGGGTCCTCGGATCGAGCACCACATCGGGCTCCCTGCTTTGCGGGGAGCCTGCTTCTCCCTCTTCCTCTGCCTGCTGCTTCTCCTGCTTGCCCTCTCTATGTCAAATAAAAATCTTAAAAAAAAAAAAAAATCAAGGGATCATGCATCAGAAAGAGCCAGGCAAGAGCAAGGTTTTACTCTCAAAAGTAGAGATTAATAAGGAAAAGCTCAACTGAGGCAGACCTGCTCTCTTTAGGATTGCACACTGGGCTTTCCTAAAGTAAATGAACTCTTTGCTTCAGTAGTAAGTAGTAAGACCTGCCCAGTGATGAATGTATCCCAAGTGAGCGATGTATTGCTAATTGTGCCTGTTTGATGTTGCTCCTTTCAGTTGTGTACTGTCAGCTATGGAAAAGTCAAGCTGGTCCTGAAGCACAACAGGTAAAGGGTTCTGTGACAGCAACCCCCCGGCCCCCCCGCGCCCAGCACTTCCACCCTGTGCAGACTGGGTGGCAAGGAGCTAACTCTGTGGACTGTTTGTCTGCACTAGCACCCGCTCCCCTGAGTAAGAGGATAAAAAGAATAAGCAAAGCGAAGTGACCAAAACCGGGAATTCGTTCACTTGCCACTGTGTTCCCCTCTAGCAGTAGAGCTGGGGCTCAGACCTGTCCTTATTTGACTTTAAAGCAGGGCTTTGCTCACACCCTCATTTTGTTATATCTTGGCCAGTAGCTCATAGCTCAGATTTGGCCAGGGGTGTGGGAGAGTCTAGAGTGGAGAGAGGCACAAAGCCACTATTTCCAGACCATCTGATCAGATGAGCAACAGAACCTTCTGGAAATGTATGCTGGTTAGTAGTCACCTCCTTCCTTCCCTCTTGCAGGTACTTTGTTGAAAGCTCCCACCCTGATGTCATCCAGCATCTTCTACAGGATCCAGTGATCCGGGAATGCCGCCTGCGGAACTCTGAGGGGGAGGCTACCGAGCTCATCACAGAGACCTTCATGAGCAAGTCTGCTGTATGTGGGCTCCTGGGTCACCCTTGGGGTTGGGAGCATTTGGAATGTCAGTTCTCTCAGGGGTGGTTAGTTTAGCACTTGCAACCTTGGGACCCCATGATCTTCTTACAACTGCAGTTCCCCTTAACAACTTTGGCTCTTGCCTGGTAGCAGGAGGGTTCATACAGAGATCTAGGTCCTAACTTTCTATTACAGATTGCTAAGACTGCTGAAGCCAGTGGTGGGCCTTCTACTTCCCGGGTGACAGACCCACAGGGTAAATCTGACATCCCCACGGACCTTTTTGACTTTTATGAACAAATGGACAAGGATGAAGAAGAAGAGGAAGAGACCCAGACAGTATCTTTTGAAGTCAAGCAGGTTAGTGAAGGTACCCCTGCCTAAGCTGGCCCAGCCCTGCATGAACTCTGCAATCTGTGTGCAAGGAAGGGGTTCCCGTCTGTCCTGTATTGCTTTCTCCTTTTTGGAGTCTGGACTATAGCGTTGTTCACCCTAATGGATTTAGATCTGCGTGTCCTGTTCCTTAGGCTGGTGGGGCAGTCTGCACGAGTTCCTAGGGAAATGTAGGAAGTGGCCTCTTGGATTTATGTACATTTTATTTTTATTTATTTATTTTAAAAAGATTTATTTATTCATGAGAGACAGAGAGGCAGAGACGTAGAAAGACAGAAAAGCAGGCTCCTCACAAGGAGCCCAATGTGGGACTCGATCCTCTGACCTGGGATCACTCCCTGAGCCTAAGGCAGATGCTTAATTGCTGAGCTACCCAGGCGTCCCAGATTATGTACAGTTTATAAGCATCCTTTGGACCTAAGATTATAAAACCTCTTTCATGCTCACTCCTTAGGAAATGATTGAGGAACTCCAGAAACGTTGCATCCACTTGGAGTATCCTCTGTTGGCAGAATATGACTTCCGGAATGATTCTGTTAACCCCGATATCAACATTGACCTGAAACCCACAGCTGTACTTAGACCTTACCAGGAGAAGAGCTTGCGGAAGATGTTTGGGAACGGACGTGCCCGTTCAGGGGTCATTGTCCTTCCTTGTGGTAAGTGACACCTGAATGAAGAAGGTGGTCAGGCTCTTTAACTCGATGTGCCTGCCAGCTTCCCCTCACTCTCTTTTGTGTGCTTTTCTCCAAATCACACCTGGCCAGGGAACAGCCAAGGTCAGATGACTCCCTGATTGAGAACTTAAATATTTGAGTGCCTGCTGTGTGCAGGACTCTGACCTCAGCAGTGAGGATACATCAGTGGGTAGAACAACCCTTCTGACATCATGGAGTGCGCTTTTGTGGTGGAGACAGGTGGTCAGTCAACTAAGCGATGTGTCAGATCTTGGGCCCTGGAGAAGAGGGGAGGTTTTGGGGTTAGATGGTGATGTGGGGAAGGTGCTATTTTGCATCCTGGGGTTAGGGTTTCAATCTTTGCAGCCTTGTGAGTTGTGTATATATGGAGACTTCCTAGCATAGAAACTATGTTCCTGGATGTATGTCCAAAAAAAGGGCAGTACAGCCCCCTTGGCACCTGTCTGATACTATTTGTCCTAAGTCATGTCCAGTCCTGGCCGGAGTTCCTGGCCAGAGGTCATAACAGATTCACCTGGGGGCCCTACAGGTTCCTTTTTTTTTTTTTTTAAATCACCCAGGTGATTTTGATGCACACGCCCTGTAAAGGAGGAATTGCTGTTTCTGTTTTTATTTTTATTTTTTTAAGATTTTATGTATTTATTCATGAAATACAGAGACACAGGCAGAGGGAGAAGCAGGCTCCATGCGGAAGCCCAACGTGGGACTCGATCCTGGGCTTCCAGGATCACTCCCTGGGCCGAAGTCAGGCGCCAAACTGCTGAGCCACCCAGGGATCCCCTATTTTTTATTTTTTGAAATATTTTATTTATTTATTCATGAGAGACACACACACACAGGCAGAGGGAGAAGCAGGCTCCATACAGGGAGCCCAACGCGGGAATTGATCCCAGGACTCCAGGATCACGCCCTGGGCTGAAGGCGGCGCTAAGCCACTGAGCCACCCGGGCTGCCTGAATTGCTGTTTTTAAAGGAAGAGCTTGACTTTTATCTTGATATTCAAACGGTGGATGATAGTAAATGGAAGCCCTGGAATGTTGCTTCTCTGCCAGTAGTGTCTGCTTTTCCTGTATTCCTGAGTTCTTAGTCCAGCATGCCATGCAACCATCGAGGCTGCCTTATACTGAGTCCTCCTCTGTGTGGCCCATCTGCCCCAGCAGTGCCTCCTCCCCATGGCCTGGGCAGGTTATCCTCAGCTTTTGTTCAAAATGGCAACAATAGGAATGTCTCTTATGTCAGGTTTGTTTTGAGATTTCAGCATTTGAACAGAATTCATGAAAAATGATACAGTAGGGCCTGGTGCTTGTCTCTCTTGATTTTCATGTTTGTGCATGAGCTGGGCAGGACTCCTTTTTATAAAAAGGGAAAACAGAGGCTCTGGAGCAATAGGTGCCCCACAACATCAGTCGTGAGGATCAAGGAGTTCTCCCAGATTTGTGTGTGGATGAAGCCAGTGTGTGTCCATTGCAACCTGGCCTTGGACATCATTGCCATTTGGTTTCACATAGGTGCTGGGAAGTCCCTGGTTGGCGTGACAGCTGCATGCACTGTGAGAAAGCGCTGTCTGGTGCTGGGCAACTCTGCTGTGTCTGTGGAACAGTGGAAAGCCCAGTTCAAGATGTGGTCCACGATCGACGACAGCCAGATCTGCCGTTTCACCTCTGATGCCAAGGACAAGCCCATAGGCTGCTCCATTGCCATTAGCACCTACTCCATGCTGGGCCACACCACCAAAAGGTCCTGGGAGGCTGAGCGTGTCATGGAGTGGCTCAAAACTCAGGAGTGGGGCCTCATGATCCTGGATGAAGTACACACCATACCAGGTGAGCAGACGGAGAGCTGAGCCGCCCACTCCTCGCAGAGACAGAAAATGATTTCCCCTTGTTGGGTTGAGGGAAGGACTGCTGTGTAGTACATTGGTCTTGCTAGAAAGGCTTGGTGGGTAGATTTTTTAAATAAGAGGTGGGGGTGAGGGTGAGGGTAGGTTAGGTGGTGGATAGGTGTATCCCTTCACAGCTTCCTTAATTATGGGTCTGGAGTAGTCATTCAGAAAATGGTATTTCCCTCCTTCCTCCATGTTTACTGTTGCAGCTCAGCTTCCCCTTAACCCACTGGTTTGTGGTGCTATGAAAACTGGGCCAGGAGCACTGAAATCCTTGCTATAGTGGTGTTTGTTTTATTTGAAACCCAAAGTATTGCTTCTTAATGTATTATAAGAACCCTACTTCTCCAGGTGTTTCAAGTAGTCTTTTATTTTTTTAAAGAATAGCTATAGTGATAAACTATCTGCTGATAAAATCCACCCATCGTAAATGTACAGTTCAAGATTTTTAGTTAATTTTTGGACTTGTGCAGCTATCACCATGACCCAGTTTTACTTTTTTTTTTTTTTTAAAGATTTTTATTTATTTATTCATGAGAGATACAGAGAGAGAGAGAGAAGCAGGCTCCATGAAGGGAGCCCAATTTGGGACTCGATCCCAGGACTCCAGGATCATGCCCTGGGCCAAAGGCAGGTGCTAAACCATTGAGCCACCCAGGGATCGCCATGACCCAGTTTTAGAACCTCTCCCTCACTCCTTTACAGTCAGTGCTTTGATCCCTAACCCCAGGGACCATTGAAGTACTTCCTGTCTCTCTAGATTTGTTTTTTCTGGAAATATCTTATTAACAGAATCATATATTGTTTATGTGCCTGCTTTACTTCGCATGATGATGTGTCCATATTATAATGTGTATTGATAGTGTCTTCCCTTTTATTGCTGAGTAGTATTCCAGGCAAATCTTTTTTGATAAAACAAATGAAGGGGGAGCCCTAACAAATTAAGTGTAAATTAGAGATTTCTCTGAATGAAATGGAATCAGAGGCATTTTCACATAGAATATTTGAGATATGGCCAAAGTGATGCTCGAATCTGTTCTTTTCAGTGTAATGAGAGTCCCTCCAGCACTCCTGGATGTCTAGAGAGAACTAGAGAAATTCACAGCAAGCCAGGTGGGAATCAGGGGTCTTTTAGGTTGAAGGAACGGTATTTGTCCTGAGGTAGGAGAGTACTTGGCATGGTCTGACAGCAGGAAAGTGGCCATGTGGTGGGAAGGCGGACATAGGAGAGAGCAGTCACAGCCAAGGTTAGCGAGGAGCAGGCAGGGTAAAATGGGGGCCAGATGCCATAGGACCTCAGAGGTCACTGGAGAGGCTTTGGCCTGTACTGGAGCAAGAGGGAAGCCATTTGAGGGATTTGAGCAGAGAATGACATGTTCTGATCACGGCTATAAAAATACCACCCTGGCTGCTGTGCTGAGAATAGACTGAAGGAGGCAAGGGTAGAAGCAGCTGGATGGGTCCCAATAGGAGTAAGAATAAAGGTCATCTACTTCTGGATGTGTTGTGAGGGTGAAGCTGATAGGCTGGATGTGGGCTCTGAGAAAGAGAAATCGGGGATGACTGTAAGGTTTTTAGCTTGAGTAATTGGAAGGAGGGAGTGGCTATGAATTGAGATGTTGAAAAGCCATAGAAGAAGCAGGTTTGAAGAGTACTAATTAGGAGTAGGCTTTAGATACTTTCATTTGATTGCCAGTTAGACATTCTGGCAGTGACAAAGATGTTAGAAAATGGGCAAAAGACAAGAATAGACCTTTTACCAAAGAGAATGTATGTACAGATGCCAAGAAGCATTTGAAGAGATGTTTCACATCATTAGTCTTGAGGGAAATGCAAATTAATATCATGAGATGAGATGCCACTATACACCCATCACAGAGGCTACAATGAAAAATACTGACAATAATGAGTACTGATGAGAGGACAGAGCAGCTGGCATACAATACCAGAGGAATTGCAAAATGAGCAGTCACTGTGGAAAAGTTGGGCAGTTTCTTAGAAAATTGCCATATGACTCAGCAGGCCCACCCCTGGGCATCCATCCTAGAGGATGAACACTCAGGTTCACGCAGAAAGTTTTTCCTGAATGTTTATAGCAGCTCTAGTCAGAGTCTTCAAAACCTGGGAACAACCAAGATGCCCAGCAGTGGGTGACCAGATAGATAAACTGGTACGTCCCTCCCCTGGAACGCTACTCAGCCATGAAACGGAACACATGGTTGCTGTGCACAACAGCTTACGTAAACTTCCAGAGATTTGTGCTGAGTGAAATCAGCCCATCCTGGAAGGTTACAGAGTGTATGGTACCTTTAAAAACTGTAGTGATGGAGAACAGATCAGCGTGTGCCAGGGGTTGAGGAGGGGGTGACTGTAAAGGGAGAGCATGAGGGAGTGTTTTGGGATAATGAATGCATTGGTCCATATCCTGGTTATGGTGGTGGTGACACAAATCTATACATGTGTTAAAATTTATAGAACCAATCCCACCTACCCACCCACCCCACCCCACCCCACCCCACCCCCCAGCAAAAGTCAGTTTTACTGTGTTTGATTTTAAAAACTTAAAAAAAATAAGGAGCAGGGGGTAATATTGGGTCTGATTGTATTGGAAATTGGTGACCTAGAGAATCACATCCTGTGAATGAGTTTGGGATTGCGGCTTAGTTGGAGGCTGTGTTTGAAACTTGGGAAAACTTGAGGCTTTCTGCTTGAGTGTGTATTTAGTTTATGCTGATGTCCCTCTGTAGCCTCGGTCCTGGGGCCCAGAGGGCAGCAGCCAGGCCTGGGCTTGGTTGTGTGGCAATGAGGAAGCAGACAGGTACCCCCACAGAATTTCATGCTTGCCCTGGGTGTCTGTATGTGTCTCTTTCTTCCCTGGTTCACTGAGCCACTTTGTCTCTGACTGGGTAGGAGAGTAAAACCAAACAGCTGTTAAAGAATTCGGAGTTCAATCTCATGAGCCCTTTGGCCTGGCCATGCCCACTAGGCCAGAAAGCCAGTGCTAAAGAAGGGAATTCTAATAAATCACAGTAAGTTTCTTGATTGTTAAATATCTCCCACGTTGAATTAGATAGAATGATAAACCTTTCAGACCTATCGCAAAAGGTAAAAAGATTGCTGTGTTGTTTCATACATCTTCCAAAAAGACTCCTGTTGGGTCACTATATCAGTAAGGAATTTGCAACTGCAGGACCTGCATATAAAGTGCTTAGTGCATGCAAGACACTGCCGATTTCATTATTTCAGCAAGTATTCATTAAGAATCCACTAAGTATCAGATGCTGTGCTTGGACTGGAGATAAAGTGGGAGGGACAAAGAATCCCTCAAATGTCAAATGACAACTGACATAACACACAGTGAAACAAGTCATACCCACAAAACGTGTATTGTGATTTTTTTTTTAAAGATTTGTTTTATTTATTCATGATAGACACAGAGAGAGAGAGAGAGAGGCAGAGACACAGGAGGAGAGAGAAGCCGGCTCCATGCTGGGAGCCAGACGCGCGACTCGATCCTGGGACTCCAGGATTGCGCCCGGGGTCAAAGGCAGGTGCTAAACCACTGAGCCACCCAGGGATCCCCCTATTGTGATTCTTTTTATATAAAGTTTGGGTGACTGAAGTCCGATCATGGTTCCTTTGAGGGAGAGTGCTGGTATTGACAGGAAGGGTCTGAGGAGAGACTTCTAGATGCTAAGAACACTTATCTTGACCTGGGTGATTCCACAAGCACCTACTTGTGTAAAATTTTGTCAAACCATGCACTGTATTGTATGTGAGTTCTTCCTCTTGACAGCCGTATGACTGTTAAAAGAATGTGGTAGTGGGATGTGACCTGTTTGCAGGACAGATGGCACAGGAAGGCCTTTCTGGCTGCAGACGGTCCAGGTGGGGTCCAGACTCATGCTTCCCTTGGGTTGATAGAATCTCTTGGCTGTCCGGAGCTGCTCCCGCATTAGGTTGGTGTCTCCATTACCTTGACTGCCATGCCCTTCTGACACAAGGAGCCTTGTCTGGGGTCTCGGCTACCCTTTTTTGGAGTGGCACAGTCCTCGGACATAATTGTGCTTCTGGTCTCCGTCTGTCAAGTGTATGTATGAACTGTGTTAGGCTTGGAAGACCTGGTCTTTATCTGGGGGTTAGACAGCCCTCTGCTGTTTCACTGTGTTCTTACATTTTTGGCTTGTGTTCTGGTGCAGTCTAACCCCTCTTTCCTCAAATTGTTAACATCTGTTTCTGCAGTATCCCTAACCTTACCTTTAATTGTATTATAAGATAAGCATGACTCAAACATGTTTTATTTATTTATTTATTTATTTATTTATTTATTTATTTATTTATTTATTTATTTATATTTATGATAGGCACACAGAGAGAGAGAGAGAGGCAGAGACACAGGCAGAGGGAGAAGCAGGCTCCATGCATCGGGGGAGCCTGACGTGGGATTCGATCCCGGGTCTCCAGGATCGCGCCCCGGGCCAAAGGCAGGCGCTAAACTGCTGTGCCACCCAGGGATCCCTATTTTTTAATTTTTAAAAAAGATTTTATGCATTTATTAGAGAAGAAAGAGCAAGAAAGCACAAGCAGGGGGGAGCGGCAGAGGGAGAAGGAGAAGCGGGCTCCCTGCTTGGCTCCCTGCTTGCAGGGAGCCCAGCAAGCAGGGAGTCCTGGGGCTTGATCCCAGGACTCTGGGTTCATGACCTGAGCCAAGGGCAGACGCTTAACCAACTGAGCCACCCAGGAGCCCCACTCATGAGTCAATACTTCTTTCAGAGTATTAGGATTTTTATAATTTTTTTTAATTTTTATTTATTTATGATAGTCACAGAGAGAGAGAGAGAGAGAGAGAGAGAGAGGCAGAGACACAGGTAGAGGGAGAAGCAGGCTCCATGCACCGGGAGCCCAATGTGAGATTCGATCCCGGGTCTCCAGGATCGCGCCCTGGGCCAAAGGCAGGCGCCAAACCGCTGCGCCACCCAGGGATCCCAAGTATTAGGATTTTTAAAAGATGAGCGCATGAAAACCCACAGTTAGGGTTTTTGAAATTAATGTCTCATACCCACTTACGTGTTTATTTAGTTTGATAAATCAGAAAGAATTCTAATAATGCCAAAGAGAGAAAAACAGGAGGTTGCTGGTTGACCAGATAAATCTTATTGGAAAAGCACAGAGAAGGGAATTTCCAAGGCAGGTCACGGTGCCTGGGGTTTTATGTCTCCCTGTTTTTTCCTTGGTTTCTGGGAAGATGGTGGGAAGCTGAGGAGATCCAGCTCTTTCCAGTTCTTTGATTCCCCAGTTACCCAGCCATTTTCCTGACAACCTGGGTACAAGTTTCAGAGCAAACAAATGCCTTGCATCATGTAGAATGCAATTGTATTTTAGGTGTTGTAGGTCATGTTTCAGGTTGCCATTTGCACCCCTGCTGGTAGCTTAGATGTTGTGAGGAAGGATCCTACGGTTTGCTAACCTGGAGCTTCCCTAAAGCCATTTCTCTCTTTTGTTTTCTTTTTCTTCCTTCTTTTGGACAGATCTGAAAGTGATGATTAAGGCTTCTTGCCTAGTCACTCTTGTCTAGAGCCAGATTCCTGTGATTCAGAAACCCGGGGGTTAGCCCACATGGCATCCCAGGCCAATGTGAAGTCGCAAGGCTGTGTGTGGTCCTTGAGCATTTAAAAAAGTGACGGTGTGAATGCCCTGATTGTCTCCCCAGCCAAGATGTTCCGCCGGGTGCTCACCATCGTGCAGGCCCACTGCAAGCTGGGTTTGACTGCAACCCTAGTCCGGGAGGATGACAAAATCGTCGATTTAAATTTTCTGATTGGGCCCAAGCTCTACGAAGCCAACTGGATGGAGCTGCAAAACAATGGCTACATCGCCAAAGTGCAGTGCGCTGAGGTAGCTGGCTCCTTCCCAGCATGGTCTCCAGGGGAGGGATCTCTTCTGCACCCCGGGGTTCAGGGAAAAGGGATCGTCTCAACTCCCCACGGACAGATTCACAGTCCAGGACCTGAGCAAAAGTACCCTGTTGCCTCACCCTGTTGCCTTGGGCCCTCTGTGAGGTCGGCAGTGTCCTACCAGCTCTGCAGGCTGATGAAACAGAATCACTTTCTGGGGGTGCCCTGTCAGTAAGGGCCAAGTTGGGATGGTGACCCAGGCTGGTTTGACGCCAGAGCCCCTGCTGCTCCTCCTCTTCTCTGGGCCTGAGCCTCAGGATGTTCCCGCCCACCCTCATCACCCTGGAGGGATTCTTGGGAGGCCCTGCGTGGGCAGCCATTTGGTCCACCCCCATGTCAAAGCCCCTTGGTTTTAATGCCCCCGAAGGCACCTGTGGCCTAGATCATTTTATTTCTGAACACGTCAGGAAACACATTGTCCCAATTTGGTTCTACAGTGAATACCTGCACAGGTAAATGCTTAAAGTACACAGTTAAAGGTAAGTCTTCTCAGAGGGAATAACAACAAAAATCCTCTCTAGCCCCTTGAAGTTACTGTTACTCATTGGCTAGGGTAGGGTGCCTCTGTTCCGAAAGGCAGAAGGGGGCCTGCTGGGTAAAGGTGAGTCTGAAGAACCTGGGCAGGGAGACTTCATTTGCTGAAAACTTCCCCACCCTGTAGTTGCGTCTTCATACCCAGCACCCATCTTATGATGCAGAGTGGCATCTCTGAGGCCTGTTATTCCTTTCCAGTTGGTTCTCTCCTCCCCCTGCCAGGGTACGCACTATTATGGAAATGGGTTTGTTATTCTCTTGCTTTCCTTTATTATTTTACTTCTTGTGTTCATTGCCCTCACCTATTTTGCCTAGCTTTGCCTTAAAAAAAAAAATCTTTATGTAAATATAAATAGGACCTGTTTCTTTATGTCCTTTTTTCAGTGCTTTTATTCCTTGCAGAATGTATTACTTTTTTTTTTTTTTTTAAGACTTTGTTTATTCATGAGAGACACACAGAGAGAGGCAGAGACACAGGCAGAGGGAGAAGCAGGCTCCCTGCATGGACTCCATCCTGGGGCCCCGGGATCATGACCTGAACCAAAGGCACACGCTCAACCACTGAGCCACCGGGGCATCCCAGTATTAATTTTTTGATGCTGCAAGTAGCTGTAGTTCAGTTTTTTAAATTGCTATATAGTATTCCATTGTATAAGTATACAGCAATTTGATATGTGATGGAATATTACACAGCAAATAAAAATAAAATCTCTAATGTTGACAGACATTGGGGTTGCTAAGTTGACTATTTAATAGCTTTATCCAAGGTATAAGTTCATGTTTCTTAACACTCATTTATTTTAAGTAAATAATATGATTTATAAATTCTGTGATTTTAGTAAGTATAAAGAGTTCTGTGGCCATCCTCACATTCCAGTTTTAGACTAGGACTTCCCACTGCCCCATCACTACCCCAGAAATTTCCCTCATGTCTGTTTGCCATGAATCCTTGCTTCTGCTCCCAGCCCTAGTGAGGCACTCATTTATTTTATCTCTATTAGGATGTAGTCTAGTTTTCTAGTTTTTTTTTTTCCTGTTACGACGATGTTGCTGCACATATTTTTGTACTTGTTTTGGGGAGATTTGGGTAATTTTTTTCTAAAGCAGTATTCACACTGTGGACTGTGATTCTGTAACAGATGATGACATTGCTTTATTGGGTCATGATCAGAATAGAATAGAATCTACCAGAAAGCATAATATATATTAAGGGTATATGTTATTTAATAGAACTGTGTTTGTGCATATGGATGTTTAGTTTGTGACGTAAAATGATTCAACTGAGAAGTTCACTGCTCTGGCAGATACACCTAGAAATAGCATTTCTGGGTCAAAGGCTATACTGATACTCACTTTATTAGTTGTGTCCTAGAAAACTGTTTTCCAAAGTGTTGTATTGGTTGACATTCTCATCAAGAGTGAGTGAGGTTTTCCACATCTTCTCCAACCCATAATACAGTTTTGTTTTCTTTTAATTTTTGCTGACACATTATAAAAATGGTATTCCTTTATGATCTCAATATATATTTTCTTGCTTACTAGTGATGTTGAGTATCATTTCATATGTTTATAGACCATTCGTGTTCTGTGAAATGTATGATTTTAGAGATTTTACTGAAAAAAGAATTGCTTTGGCTGTAAAGAACTAGAAATTCTAATGAGGACATGGACAGGACATGGCCTAAGAGGAACCAGAAAATAGCAGCAGCAGCAAAACCTGTGAATTTGAGCTCAGCCCAGTGTTAGGCATATAGTGATGGCAGCTGACAGTGTGAAGAAAGGGTCTGTGGTGATCACATAGAGAAGTGGAACTAGTCACAGAATTTGGAGCTTGTCAGTATAGGCTTTATGGCCTGTTCCATACAAAATTTCCAGAGGTTCCTTTTTGTGTGTTCACAGCCTTGAGACCTTTGAAACACGTGGCACTTCGGTATATTTGTCTGAGCTTCCCTTACCTTGCCAGTGGTTCATGCACCGGCCTAGCACAGAGGAGGCCCTCAGGAATGTTACTGTCATCCTTGAATGATCAAATTGTCTCAAATGTGACCAACGGGACCCACTTCCATCTGGCTTCTATATCCGTTTGACATGTCCTCATGTCATTCTTTGAGCTCATTCTTTGAACACTTCTTTGCTTTCTGGCACAGCAAGATACTTTAGGCTCATCTGGTAATTTCCCGACCTATCCTGGCTCTGGAGTCAGCCATTTCTCCAAGCTGCCCTTTTAGTAGACAATGGAATTTACAACCAAGATCTAGGTGCGAGGGTGTGTTCAATATTCCTAGGATGTCATTGCTAGGCTGACTCCACAGACAGAGTTAGGAAGTATGTGTGCAGTTCTCCATAGCAGTGATGTGTGTAGACTTGTGTGTGGAGGGTGGTCTAAACAAGAGGGATTACTTGTACCACTGGCTGAGAATCTGATTTCCCTTACTTGGAGCTGGTGTAAAAGTAATTCCCTGGATATCGATAGTTTTAAAAATCCATGTGTTGGGGATCCCCGGGTGGCTCAGCGGTTTTGCGCCTGCCTTTGGCCCAGGGCGCAATCCTGGAGTCCTGGGATCGGGTCCTGCGTCGGGCTTCCGGCATGGAGCCTGCTTCTCCCTCTGCCTGTGTCTCTGCCTCTCTCTCTCTCTGTGTGTGACTATCATAAATAAATAAAAATTAAAAAAAATTTAAAAAAAATCTATGTGTTAAGAGATAGAGTGTCTTGGTTCACTGTTAGGTATTTGATTTGGGGTATATGTGTATATTTATATATATTTTTAAAACTATTTTTATTTCTGTTTTTTTCTTTTTAGAGAGGAGGAGGTGGGGAGAGGCTGAAGGAGAGAGAGAGAGAATCTTAAACAGGCTCCATGCCCAGCTTGGAGCGTGACGTGAGGCTTGACCTCATGACTGGAGCCAAAGTCAAGAGAGAGATCCAAGCACCCCTGTTTTGATTTATTTTAAAGCTAGTTCTGCCAAGTGAATGGCCTTCAAAAGTTTCTAATCACGTGATATTTAAAACTTACAAACTGACCCTTGATTCTTTCTGTGTCACAGGTTTGGTGCCCAATGTCTCCTGAGTTTTACCGGGAGTATGTGGCAATCAAAACCAAGAAACGAATCTTGCTGTACACCATGAACCCTAACAAATTCAGAGCTTGCCAGTTTCTGATCAAGTTTCACGAAAGGAGGAATGACAAGATTATTGTCTTTGCAGACAATGTGTTTGCCCTGAAGGAATACGCCATTAGACTGAACAAGTAAGGACTGAGAGGTTGGGGTTGGTGCCAGGCAGCCTGTGTTCCCCGAGCCAGAGTACAGAAGGTGCTTGCTTGTTTGTTTGCGTGTTTTCCTCTCTCGAAGCTTTCGGGAATTTCTTATGAATTGGGTAAGACAGAGGAGCAAGTGGTCAGACTCAGAGGTCAGAGTATATGGAAAAGGGAGCCTGGGTCGCTTAAGCCCAGGGATCAGGGGCTGGAGTTGCACTGCTTTGGTGGGGCACTATCTTTGAGCTGGGCTCCAGAGGTGGGTGCAAGTTGGCATTTGAAATAGCAGCCAAGTGAGCACTCCGCTGAAGCTGAGGTCAGACTATATGGGCCAGAGGCCAAGAGGGCAAGGCTGACTGGTCCAGCATCCCAGCTGTGGTACTACATCTAGAAAGAACTTCTCAGGAAATACCACCAATGTCCTCCCCCGCCCACAGTTCCACCTGGATTCTGTGTTAGCACTACTTGTGTAGACACTAAGCTTAGATGGAGAGATGTTGCCTCAGGAAAAAGTATAGTTGAGAAACCAAGGAAAAAGGAAAGGAGAGAATCTTGAAGAGAGTGGGTGACCAGAACCTTGGCTCAGGGTCTGTAGCCGCTCATTTTTATGGGCCTCCTTCTGATATCCTTATCCTTGCATGATGGAGGGCTTCGTGAAAGAGGGAAACCTTGAAGGAGCTCCCTTTCCCTCTGATAAGCCTCCAGAATAATCGAGGGGGTGATTCTGTAGTCTTCCTAATGCAGCTTCTTTCTTCTCTAGACCCTATATCTATGGTCCTACATCCCAAGGAGAGAGGATGCAGATTCTCCAGAATTTCAAGCATAACCCCAAAATCAACACCATCTTCATATCCAAGGTCTGTGTGGCATGCAGGGTGGTGGTGAGACACCAGCACCCCCAGGGCTGGGGGACACTGGGTGATTTCTGGGGAATGAATTCATGTTTTTGAAGGGACCTCATGTGTCAGTTTCATTCCCGGGTGTCCATGTCTGTGGACAGAGGAATGCTTTCTGACAGGTAGCAGAAGGAACAGATGCAGGGTTTAATGTACTGTGGATGATCTATAAAGTCTGTTGATTTTTTTTTTTAAGATTTTATTTATTTATTCATGAGAGATACAGAGAGAGGCAGAGACACAGGCAGAGGGAGAAGTAGGTTCCGTGCAGAAAGCCCAGTGTGGGACTCAATCCCAGGACTCCAGGATCATGCCCTGAACCAAAGGCAGATGCTCAACCGCTGAGCCACCTGGGCGTCTCTAAAGTCTTTTTGTTTTGTTTGTTGGTTTGTTTGTTTGTTTTTAAAGATTTTATTTATTCATGAGAGAAACAGAGAGAGAGGCAGAGACATAGGGAGAGGGAGAAGCAGGCTCCATGCAGGGAGCCCGACTTGGGACTTGATCCTGGGTCTCTGGGATCAGACCCTGGGCCAAAGGCAGTGCTAAACCGCTGAGCTACCTGTGCTGCCCTAAAGTCTCTTCATTTGAGATTTTCCCACTTCTTTTGGGGATATAGGAATTTTAAGTTATATTTACTTATCTGAGGGGGAAATTTTCATTACCTATTCTGGCAAAAGTAGGCATTCAGATGAAGTGTCTTTGTGGAGTTGGAGATTGTTGTGGGTCGTGGGCAGCCTTGCTTCTGGCTCCTCATGTACCTTGATGGTGGGTGATTAATGTGAGCATGGTACAAACTCACGAAGGCCCAGCTTGATGACACTCTTAGAGCCGTGGTTCAACAATGTAGAGTAGTCCTTCAGATTAGAATAGACCCAAAGCTCAAAATAGATGAGATTTATGCATAAGTGATCATGGCTGGCTCAGTAAGTGCCAGACTTGGATGTGCGTTTAGGAACCTTGATGGTTGGAACCTTCGAGCTGAGGCCGCCACCCAGAGCCAGATGCAGCCCAGTGTGGACAGTGGCCCCTTCCAGATCATGTGTCCCACAGGTACTGGTGGTTTCATTGACCTCCAATTGAGAGTGTGGATGGTTTTGTGCAGACATGTTTCTGTAGCAAAAAAGAAGAGGGGTCATTTGCAGAGAGTCTCTGTTGATAGGGACCTCTCATCTCTGGGCCCCTGCAGCCCATACTGGGAATGCTGGCAAGACAGCTGGTGGGAACTACAGGTCCTTACAGCTTCTTTAGGACAGTTTCCAGGAGAATTCACACTAATCCTTGAGGCCTGCCTGCATCCACAGGACCCTGGTACAGGAAGAGGAGGATGGTGATTATCTTTCTACATTATCTACAGAGCTTATTTAAATTCAAGGCCAATTGGTTTTTTTTTTCTTTACATCCCAAATGAAAACAAAACAAAAAACCTCCCCAAACTCTCCGTTGTTTCATTTCTGTAGGTGGGCGACACATCGTTTGATCTGCCAGAAGCAAATGTTCTCATTCAGATCTCATCTCACGGTGGCTCCCGGCGGCAGGAAGCCCAAAGGCTGGGGCGAGTGCTCCGAGCCAAAAAAGGTAAAGGTGGCCTTACCCTTCTGCTCCAGGAAATCTTTCCTTTTGAACCACTTTGGTTAGAAAGAGGGTAGGCTAAGCTGCCTGTGTGTTCCTATTGGTAAGGTAGGCCCCTGGGCCCCATACATTCTGCAGGGAGAGGTTCCAAAGCAAGGACCAAGATCTGTTTGGCTCTTCTTAGTTCATGCCTTGGGGTTAATATGTAGATCTTTTCCATGGCAGCCACCTGGTTCACATGAGCATCCTCTAAGCTGAGTGCCTGTGTTGGTAGGTAGTAAGAGGGGCCAGGAAGGCAGTGTGTAATGGTATAGACACAGAGGGCTTGGCCACCAGTGACGTGTATGAGCTGAAGCTGGACCCTGGACCTTGAGTCAGGAGTAAGGGGAAGGCTTGGTAAGAGCAACTTGGGCAGCTGCAGATGGCTGCCTCACACACCACCCAGCAGAAGTCCCATCTTGTGTGGCAGCTTGCTGCAGAGGTGTCACACGCTCAGTATGTGAGGACATGCAAGAGGTCAAGTATCTCTGTGGTCACTGTGGTAAAAGGGCCCAGACCCTAACCATGGGCAAGGCAGGCACTGACACTGCTGCTTAGAGATGGCCGGGGTTGTTCTCCTAGGCCAAGCAGGCCCGAAGACGAGGACACAGGCCTGTCCTCAGGGAATCCACTTTCCTCTCTTAGGAGATGCTTGAGTGTCGGAAACAAGGTTAGTGTGTGGTTGTTGGAATCGTACCATATTAGAATGTGTTTAAGAGGCAGCCAATTGTATTTAATATGGAGACAGGGCACATTAGTAGAAATAGCATGCACTTGGGCACCTGGCCAATTTTGTGGCCTTGCAGGTAGTTTGCCCCTGTGAGCCTTGCTTTGCCATCCAGAGTACAAGTGCCATCCTGTCTTGCAGGGCTGTTGGGAGGAATAAGGCTTGTGTAACAGAATATTGGAAGCTACTGGATAAAGTGCAGCTTTTATAAACTGACCAGAATATAATCTGACTAGCATATGTGAGCATAATTCATAATTTATGCCTTATCACCTCCCAGAAAAGAAACACATCTAACTTGAAAACCACTTTGAATTTGAGTAGGATTTTGTTTTCTTTTTTTTAAATACTGTTTGATATAAGGCATTTGGCTGCGTTCTTTGCCTCTCTGAGCTCTTGTAAGACTAAGAAACAATAGAATTCAGAGGCAGTACACAGGTACTGAGTTTGCTGACAATTGAATTGTGAAGCAAAACTCTACAGATTGTCCAGAAGGATCAGGTTTTATAGGCTGCAGTATTTTCTGTCCTAGTTTCTGTGATGAATCTTTCTTGGTTTTCTCTCTGAGCTCTTTTTTCTTTTTTTAGCAACTTTATTGAGATAGAATTCGCATACCATACAATTGGTCCATTGGAAGTGTACAATTCAGTGGTTTTTTTCTTTTTTTTGAGAGACTGAGAATGCGTGTGGCCATTGAGGAGGTGGGGGAGGGACAGAGAGTCTTAAGCAGGCTCCACACCCAGTATGATCACATGGCCCTGAGATCATGACCTGAGCCAAATTGGACACTTAACCAACTGAGCCACCCAGGCATCCCCAGTGATTTTTTTAAAAAAATATAATTGCAAAGTGTTTAGCCATTACCACAGGCTATGTTTAGAATATTCTCATCACTCCAGAAAAGAAACCCTTTCCCTCTGGCAGTCACTCCTTTCTCCTTGCCTCCCAGCCCCAACTGCAGGCAATCATTTCTCTGTTTTTACCTTGACGAATGTGCCCGTTATAGACATTGCATACATACAGAATTGTGCAGTCTGGGCCCTCCGCAACTGCCTTCTTTCACTAGTGTGACATTTTCAAAAGGGTCTTCGCTCTTAGCAGGTGGTAGTACTTCATTCGTGTTACTGCTAAATGATCCTCCATTGTGTGGGCATGCCACATCTAGTTTATTCATTTTTCTGTTGATAGACACTTGGATTATTTCCACTTTTCGGTTCTTAGAGATATTGCTGCTATGAAATTCATGTGCAGATTTTGTGTGGACATATTTTTTCAATTCTTTTGGGGATATATCTAGGAGTAGATTGTTGCATCAGCTGTGGTCTCTGTTTAACATTTTAATAAGCTGCCAGACTGTCTTCTAAAATGGTGCACCATTTTACACTCTTACCAGCAGTATATGAGGAATCCAGTTTCTCTACCTTCTTGACAATAGCTGTGATTATCTTTTTTTGATTCTGGCCATCCTGGGGAGTGCCAAGTGGTACCTCATTGTGGCACCAGTGCATTTCCCTGATGACTAATGATGTTAAGTGCTTTTCATGGACTTGTTGGCCGTTTGTCTATTTTCTTTGGAGAAATGTCTGTTCAGATGCTTTGCTCTTTTTATAATTGAGTCATTTGTCTTTTCATTATTGATTTGTAATAGTTATTTATACAGTCCAGATACAAATCACTTATCAGATACATGCTTTGTAAATATCTTCTCCCATTCTGTGGGTTGTCATTTTACTTTCATGATGATGCCATTTAAACCACAGATGTTTTTAATTTTGGTCAAGTGCCTAAGCACAGTCAGGGCCATCAGCCCTCCTGACTGCAAAGCTCTCCTACTGCATTACACTTGGCCCTCGAATAACATAGTTTGCACTGTGAGAGATTTTTTTGATAACTGTAGTTCAGTACTGTAAATGTATTCTCTCTTCTTTATAATTTTCTTAATGTTTTCTCTAGCTTACTTTATACTAAAAAATAATATGTAATGCATATAACATACAGAGTATGTGTTAATCAACTGTTTATGTTGTTGTTAAGCCTTGCAGTCAGCAGTCGGCTGTGAGTAGTTGTTTTGGGGGAGTCAAAAGTTACATGTGGGTTTTCAACTGTGCGGGGGGAGGGTTGGTACCCCTAACTCTCATATTATTCAGGGATCAGCTGTACTTAATTTTTGAGCCTAGGACCCTCGGTTCCTGGCATTTTGACAGCTAATGTTGTCCTTTCTCCTTCTCTCTGTTAAGGGATGGTTGCTGAGGAGTATAATGCCTTCTTCTACTCGTTGGTATCCCAGGACACACAGGAAATGGCTTATTCGACCAAGCGGCAGAGATTCCTGGTAGATCAGGGTTATAGCTTTAAGGTATGTATTCATTGGTCTCCTGTCAGAATAGAACCAAGAATTTCTTTGTACCCATGCCTCCAGGGGAAGGTAGGAACTGCTATTGGCACCAGTGTGGGAAAAAGCTCAGACAGGCACAGAACATTAGGGCATTGGAAGCCCTGCCTCAGGTTCCCTTTATCTCGGCATAAGTTGCCAAGGACTTTAAGGAAAGATATTGTGCAAGATCCCTTCCTGCCCCCAGCTTCCTATCATAGTGAATGGTCAAAGAATGGGGCCTCTGAAGGCTTGGAGTCTCTACTTGTTAATGTTTTACAGTTGTCTTGTGAAAAGAGTGTTAGTTGTCAGTGGGGAAAATGTGCTAGCCTCATAGGACCTGAGATCCTGCAGAAATGTGGCCATCACTGTGCTCCTCTGAGCCCCTTAGAGTTACTTTCCTGCACCAGCAATGGTTGTCAGCCAAAGCTTTAGAATTTGCCATTGTTCACATACTTGATTTATAATACCAGGAAGGCTCTGTTGAGCTGCCCCTCCAGGTGGCCCAGGCCTGAGTGGGCCTCACATCAGAGCTGTCCACAATTGGCGGTTGCATGGTTTGGGGATCCTAAAGCTTTGGCTGACTTCCATTGACTGATGTGTTTGCTTTCTTTCCTGTTGACGCACATGGTAAGTTTATGTCAGGATTTAAGGCCCTAAAGATTTTTATTTGTGGGGGTGAGTGGGGGGTGCTGGAAGTAGAGAACTGAAAGGATGCCAGAACATGTAGGTTCCGCGTTCTTGGTTTGCAAGAGACTACAGGCTGCCTGTTCAGATGCTTCTGATTGTGTCTTTTTACAAGTTGGTGAGTTCCTGTTATCAGCCAGAGACAAGAGGTCAGGGCTGTCTAACTCCTCCTTTTTTAGCCAGAAGCAGAGACAGTTTCACACTTCTCATGCTGGGCCAGAGGACAGGATAGTTGACCATATTTTGGAGGATTTGTGTGATGGCCTTTATATGTATCCGTAAAAAGTATGTGATGAAAACAGCATTCATACTTCCTGATCCTGGAGAGATCAGGGGTGATACCAAGGGTGAGACAAGAGATCAAGGGTGAGACAAGCACCAAATCAGGGAGTGTTCTGGGTTCTTTGAAAGGTGAGCTTGGCAGAAAGGCACCTGGTCATGGGATTGTGTAGGTTGGAGCTGCCTTTGCCTTCGTTGCCTTCAGCACTGCCCCTTGAGAGCAGCCAGGTGAGAGTTCCCAGTATCATGAGCCCAGAGTTCCCAGAGGGGTGATTGGGCCAGGGCAAAAGTGCCCGGTATCTGTCCTTGGGCTCTGCGGCCACTTGAAGGCCTCAGCCAGATCCCTGCTTCTGGGACTTTGCTTTTAATGAAAATGATGAGAAGAATTACAGGGGAGCAAACAAGATTTCTCTGTGTTCTCAATCCAGGCTTTCTTCAGGGATAGGTAGGCCATGTAGTAAGTTACGCCCAGAGAAAGGAAAACCAAATCACTACCATGCTGTTCTTTTGCTCAATTAGAAAAAATTTTGTAAGTCCACCTGACAGGCTCTCATTTCTAAGTGCTCCCTCCTACCCGAAGCCCAGGAGGCTAAAGACCCTGCCCTGGGGCAGCAGGCTGTGCCTGTCCGTCTCTGGTCCCTTCGTATAGCTGGTGCAGGATGGAAAACTGCCAGAAGGGACATCTTAGAGTTGCCAAGGCCCCTGCTGATCATCTGTAAGTGATCATGTGTCTGCTGTTTTGGGAGTAGGCTTCTCTGGAATTTCCTTCGCCTTCCCTGCCCTACAGTCATCAGTTAAGCTCCCTGTTTCAGGTGGCTCCGAAGCTGGTCTCTGGAATGCCAGAGAGGAGCTCTCTTTGGTTAGCCACCTGCACCAGTGGGCCCGAGGGAAGGAAAACAGGAGGGGACATGAGGCCTGCGGCTCTCGGCTCCACAGGTGATCACAAAGCTGGCGGGCATGGAGGACGAAGAGCTGGCATTCTCCACGAGGGAAGAGCAGCAGCAGCTCTTGCAGAAGGTCCTCGCGGCCACTGACTTGGATGCTGAGGAAGAGGTGGTGGCAGGGGAGTTTGGCTCCAAATCCAGCCAGGTGAGTGAGGGGATGAGGCGCCAGGTGTCTCCTGAAGAGAAGCCTTCCACACCGCATGTGGTTATCTGTGTGTGTATGTGTGTGTGTGTGTGTGTGTGTGTGTGCACTTGCGCACACCTGTGTGACCTTTTAAAAACTTGGAAACGCAGGAAACCACAGAGAAGAGAGTAACAGAAATGGCCCGTATTAACCTTGAGCATCCTTTCCTACACATCATTCTGTGCGCATCCTTTCCTACACATCATTTCACGTGGCTGAGTCCATGGTGGCTGTAGCTGGCCTCCTACTCTGTTTGCCTCTCCGTCTGGTCCGAGTTCTGTTAGTGCTTTGATGTTGGAGCCTAGGGTGACACATGTGGCCTCAGGCTTGCTGCCTGAGCAGGGGTGGCTGTGGGAGGGGGTGCTGTGGGCCTGGGCCCGCCAGCCCAGGGTCTCAGACAAATTACTTCAGCTCTGGCTTCCTTATTAGTGATAGAACTGAGCCTTTCAGGCTGTGAGGGGGGTCTGAGAATGAGCTCACATTGCAGTTTGAATATTTGGGAAAATTTAGAGTTCTCTGAGAATAATGAACTTTCCATTTATTCTGCAAATACTGAATACCTACCATGTGCCAGGCCAATATAATGTGGCATGATTAATGAAAGTACCATTATGGGGCATTCTTATCGGGCCCTTCCAAGAGAAAAGTACACTTTAGTCCAGTGCTTTGAAAACTAAATTGATATTAGAACCAAAAGGTGAGCAGTGGTTGGGACAAGGAAAGAAAAGCAGCTTCCTCTGGGGTGATGCTGCTCTCTCTCCAGCCTGAGGCCGTTCTGCCCCCAAACATGGGGACTGGTTTCCCCCCTGTGGGCACCCTCCATGCATGGATGCTTCAGGGAAATTTCTTGCCTGTGATCGTGTGCTAAGGTGATGTCTGGTAATCCCCACCAACCGAGCGAGTTCTCTAAGGCCAGGCTGTTGAAGGTGTTGCCTGATGCCTGTCTGCATACTCGCCTTGTCATCAGTCTGGTGCAAGTGGTGTGCCAGGCTCTGCGTCAGACCCTTGCCTGTGTGATTTCTGTTCACCCCAGTTTTTGTCAAGACAGATGAGGCTCTCCCCATCTTAGAGATGCATTCACTGAGGCTCAGACATTCGGTGTTTGTCCAAGGTCACCCAGTGAGAAGTAGAGCCAAGTTTCAAGCTCAGGGTTTTCTGGCTTTCCACTGGATTCAAAGCCTTATGGTGGAGTCTCGAGGTGTTGAGGGTGTGCTGCCCTTACTTTTGAAAAATTCTGTTTATAAATTGTCATTAAGAGAGGCAGAGTCATGCCTCTCTTTATGACATGGTTAAGAATAGGTAAGCTAAAGACAGCTGTCTGGGTTCAAGTCCCATCTCTAAGAGCTGTGTGATCTTGGATAAGTTACTTAATCTATCTGTGCCTCAGTTTCCTCATCTGTAAGATGGGAGTTAATACATGTAAATATGTGTAAACTGCTTCACACAATGCCTGAGACACAATAAGTGGTTAATAAATGTTTTTTAAAAATTAGTATTTATTAAACTTTAAAACTTTATAAAGCTTACTGTGAATATAAATGTTAAAAAAGGAGTGTCTTTTCCTTTGGAAACTAATCATGGGCTGGGTCTCCCCCATAGGTGTCTCGGCGTTTTGGCACAATGAGCTCCATGTCTGGAGCTGATGACACCGTGTACATGGAGTACCACTCGGCCCGGAGCAAGGCTTCCACAAAGCATGTGCATCCGCTTTTCAAACGCTTCCGGAAATGACATCCATAGGGTCACAGTGAAGGCTGAGTGCTCGGCACCAGCATTGGGTAGGGATTTTCCATATCCACGTTCTTTCCTGTAGCATCGCCCAGGCTGAGCTAGATTCAGAGTTTGTTAACTGTGTTGAAAAACATGCATCGAGACCTTGGTTTTGTCTTCATGGGTTGTCTAGGGCTTAAAAATGTTCAGAGACTATATTTTGGGGTTTTTTTCAGACCGCTTTTTAATCATGGGGACTGGCCATTCCTGTATATAAATATTTGTAATATTTAAGATGTATTTTATCTTAGTGTTCTGAATAAACAGAAATGGAACATTTGACCACTCTTGATTATAGGTGTTCTTATGCCTGGTCACAGGCCTGGGCTCTGTCTAGGTGACAGACCTCTACTGAGGTCCTTTTTGTAGCAGGCACCGAAGAGTGAGATGGGGCCCATCCCTGAGGAGCTCTTCTGGGGAGATGCACCCCAAGATAAACAAGACTTGCTGATTGGTGTTGAGGTGCCGACAGGGCCAAGGCCCTGATGGAGGGGAGAGCTAGAGCAGTTGCCATGCTGCCTGTTCACTGTTTAGCGTCTGCAGCCTCCCGCTCGGGAATCCCTGTGTGCAGGTCCTCTAGGTCCCCTGCAGGCCATCGCACCTCAAAAGCCACCGCCCACACAGCTCCTCAGTTGGGCTTCTTTGATAGAGTGATTTTTTACTTCTCCCCGGATTCATTTTTGATACTGCTGGGAGGCTGGGTTCCTGTTCCAAAAGCGTTATAATGCCCTGGGGTCTTTAATTAGTTCCTTTATTCTCAGAAACATCTTTTTCTCTCTTGTTCCTCAAGTGAAAGAAAAGAAAGAAAAGACAGGATTGTTTCATAAAAAAGACACGAGGCATACACAAGTCAGGAAGAAAAACTTGTCATTTTGAGGAGGAGGCTCATCCTAATAGACAACAGCACTCAGATTTGGGGAGTGTTGAAAACCCATGCTAACTAAGGCCTCTAAATTTGGAGTCCCTGCCCAACCCCCCGAGGCTCAGCAGCAGCCTTCTGTTCCTGTGTCGTGAGACACACCTACATGGCTGTTTTGTGAAGCAGCTGCCGACCAGGCCTGGGAAGACAGTATCTATCTGGTCAGGAGTGCTTCAAAGCAAGAGCCCCCTTTCCCGAATTCCACTTCTCTGAGCTGACCTTTTGGGGACAGACAAACACTCATAGTTTGGCCCACAGCTAGCTGCTCTGTCTACAAACCGCAGGAATGGCGCCAAGCAGCCAGACCTGAGGCCTGTGCTCTGGCATGTATTCGCTAAGGCCTGTGGACCTGCTCATTACTCACCCTGATGGGCTGGCACCCAAATGTCTCAAACTTGATCCCAACCAGTATTATTTCCAGATTCTTATCTCCTGTCACACCTTTATGCTTGCAGTACTCAAACAGTGCCAGATACTTGTATTTTCACATTTCTGCCCGTGGTGCTCACTGTTTTCTTGTTCCGTAACCCACCTACGGATAATGTGGACATTTACCCAAGCCCTGTGATCCTGGAGAATGGGGACTGTTAAAGAAATCCTCCATCTATTGTGTTCTGGAAAACTGATTAGACCAGAGAACTACTCTTCCATGTATGACTTGGACAAGACCCAGGGGTGTCCCCCCCTTGTCTACCTGTGACAGGGCCGGACACAGATCTTCCACGTGCCCATTTTTTAACTCCACTGTGCTATGTCCCTTATGGTTGGCTTTCTTCATTTTTATTATTTTTTATTTTATTTCTTAAAGATTTTATTTATTCATAAGAGACACAGAGAGAGAAGCATGCTCCCTGTGGGGAGCCTGATTTGGGACTTGATCCCAGGACCCTGGGATCATGATCTGAGCCAAAGGCAGACGCTCAACCACTGAGCCACCCAGGTGCCCCCCTTCTTCATTTAAAAAAAATATTTGTACCCTATTAGTTTTGAGTTCTATCTGTACCTTAGTAGCTGGTGTATAGTAGGTGCCCAGTGACTATTGAATTGGGTTCTGAAAAGTTTGGATTTAAGTTAAAAAAAAATCTTTAAACACTTCAAAACTTAAAGTTTGTGGACTTAAAAGGAACACTATGACCCCTGCCTGCTTATGCCTTGAAGGGAGTTTTGAATGAATTGCCTACTTGTAACCACTCCAACTGCCCCTTCCTCCTACCTCTGCCCTGAGCCAGCCCTTACCCCCATGGCTAATGGCAGGATAAAGTACCTCTCTGCAGAGGAGAGCTGCACAAAGAACTACACATTCGCTGAGGGTCCCCTGATTCTTGGATATAAGGAACCAAATGAAAGGATTGGGGGGAGTTTACCCAGGCCTGTCAGCCAGAGTGAGAAACCTCATAATTCATGGGCTATCTAGTAGAATGTACAGCAAGGGTCTGCCTCAGCAGCATGTGAGTTAGAACTAAACTGATGCTGCCTCAATCCTAACAAAGTTCAAAAGCAAGACCCAAAAGGATCAAAATGTTAGCACATAATTTACTGTGTTCCAGAGCAAAGCTAATTGCCGCAACACAAAAATACCCAGCAACCTGTAAGGTAAAATTCATGATGTCTGACAGCTAATCAGAAATAACAGGGCAATTGAGGAGCCTGGATGGCTCAGTTGATTAAGCGTCCAACTTTTGATTTTGGCGCAGGTCAGGGTCTTGAGATGAGACCCATCTCTTAAAATTCTCTTAAAATTAAATGCTTATAATTCTGTTTCTCTTTCCCTCTGTCCATACCCCCCTCCTGCTCATGCATTCTCCCTCTCTCAAAAAAAAAAAGAAAAATTGCCAGATAAGCAAAGAGCCAGTAAAATACAACCGCTAATGAAAAGGAAATAAAATAGACCCAGAAATAACCCACATGATACGAGTACACAGGCCACTAAAAGTTCTAACTGTGTTGCAGATGTCACAAAGCCAGAAAAATTCAACATGTTGACACAGGAGATATAAAAACCCATGTCAGGCCTCTAGAGATTAAAACTACCATGTCTAAAATGAAAAACCTACTTTATGGGTGTCTTGGGCAGCTTCTGAAATGGCTCCCAATTATGCCATCTCTGTCATTCAGGCCCTGGTATATTCCCCTCCCTTAAATGTGAGTTAGATGGATAGATTTGCTTCTAATGGATAAAATTCATCAAAAGAGATGGCTGACACTTCCAAGATCAGGTTATAAAAGACCCTGACATCTATCTTGTTTCCAAACCCTGACACTTCTCATTTGCTTGCCTTGACCAAGCAAGCCCCCATTGGAGAGTCCACACGGCAAGGAACGGAGTGGAGGTAGGGCTCAGTCCAATGGCCCTGTGAGGGAGCTTGGAAACCAGTCATTCCCCAGTTGGGCCTTGAGATGGCTGCGGCCCTAACCTAGCCCTGATGATAACCTGAGCTGTACAGTTGCTACAGACCCAGCTGAAGCCCTAACTCCGGATTCCTGATGCACAGAAACTAAGATAGTAAATGTCATTTTAAGTCAGTGAATTTTAAATTTAAAAACTTCCCTATTATTTACATCTCTCTTTTTTTTTTTTTTTAAAGTAGGATTGATTGCTAGGTTCTGAAGATGGATAGTGAGCAGCGCCAGGGGTGCAGCGGTTTAGCGCCGCCTGCAGCCCAGGGTGTGATACTGGAGACCCGGGATCGAGTCCCACATCAGGCTCCCTGCATGGAGCCTGATGCTGCTCCCTCTGCCTATGTCTCTGTCTCTGTCTCTCTCTGTGTGTCTCTCATAAATAAAATCTTAAAAAAAAAAAAAAAAAAAAAAGAAAACAGGGTTGAAGAAATAATGGCTGAGATTTTTTAAATTTGGTAGGTCTTCAGTTCTAAGAAACAAAAGGAACTCCAAGCACAGGAAATACAAAGGAAACAATACCCAGGATATATCAAAATCAAATTGCTTAAAACTAGTGATAAAAAAACAATCTTAAAGGGCACCTCGGTGGCTCAGTCAGTTAAGCATCTGTGCAGTGGGGAGTCTGCTTCTCTTGCTGCCTCTGCCCTTCCCCCTTGCTCATTCTCATTCTCTCCCGAATAAAGTCTTATTTTAAAGAAGTGATTAAAATGGTAAGTATTGTGTTATATATATTTTACCACAATAAAAAATAACTTTAGAGCAACCATAATGTATTGTGGAGTTTATAAAAATAAAATGTATATCAATAGCACAAAAGCTAAGAGAGTAGAAATGGAAGTATACAGTTGTAAGGTTCTTGTATTATATATAAAGTGGTACAATATTACTTGAAAGTACTCTGTGATATGTTAAAGCAACCCCTGAAGCAACCACTAAAATAGCACAGCAAAGAATTTATGGCTAATAAGCCAACATAGGAGATAAGATGGAATCATAAAAACTACTGAACTCTAAAAAAAGATGAAAAAAGGAAATAGAAGCAGATGGGAAAGACTGAGAATAAATAGGAAACGGTCTGAACACCCTCAATTAAAAGGTAGCAGTTGTCAGATTCTGAAAGTAAGAACCAAATTAGGCTGCCTGCATGATGAAATATTAGGATGCAAATAGGTTAAAAATAAAAGAATGGAAGAATATATACTACCCTCACACTAAGAAAAAGAAAGCTGGAGTAGTTATACTAATATTGGGTGAAGTAGATTTCAGAACATAGAATATTACCCCAGATAAAGAGGATCATTTTATAATGATAAAGAAGTCAATTCATAAGGAAGGAATAACTCTATAAATATTTATGTCCCCAGTAACAGTTTAAAAATACATGAAACAAAAACTGGTACACCTACAAGAAGGAATAGGACAAATTTACAATTATATTAAGAGATTTTAATACCTTTCTCTCAATAATCGATAGAGTAAGTAGACCAAAAATCAGTTAAGACACAGAAGATAACACTATCCACCAACCTAACCTAATTGACACTTCTAGAATACCACCCACCAAGAGCAGAATACATATTCTTTTCAAGTACAGATAGATCATTTGCTCAGACAGATTCAATTCTGTGCCATATGGCAGGTCCCAATAAATTCAAAAGGATTCAAGTCAGTATGAATGTTCTGTGATCACAATGGAAATTAACTTAAAATCAATAAAAGAAAGATCTCTGATCTCTAGGAAATCCCCAAATATTTTAACACTGAGTAGCACAAGTCTAAATTAGAAACCTCCAAGGGGAACTTAGTATTTTTGAATTGAGTGAAAATGAACACCGTGTTGTTTATATTTTTTTGTTTCTGCATATTACAATGTTTTGGTATCTTAACCTTTCTGCCTGGGGAGAGACTGACCCTAATAGGGCTAGCAAGCTCTTGAGCAGCAAAAGGTCCAGCCAGGAGCATG